TACAAACAAACATTTCGAGGTGCCTACACCTCCAAACATTGTCAAGTGACCTGGCGAGAAACTGACAACAAGAACGCCGCTGATATCGGTCGGCAGCCATATCTTGTAGTGTCTCCAACCAGGCACAGTGGAGATCATGCGGTTCCCATCCCGGAAGGCGAGTACCACCGACAGCACCCAAGCGCTTCACATACCTCTGCCAAGTCAAGGGTTGGCCACCTCTCTGCTTACGCCACTCTGAGTTGGGCATGGAAAACAGCACTCCCTTCGGCGAACGATGGTTGAGCATACGCAACACATGTTCTAACCAACGCGGCTCTTGGTGCTGGACACATTCTTTAGTGGAAGTACGCGTTGCACAACCGAAAACTCGCTTCCTAATTGCCTCGTTACGGATACGCCAACATCAACCCACACGAGCTATGGTTCTGAGACAACGATTGCCGAACACCTGAAGACGTCTCAGTTCCGGTGCTCGAACAGGCCAAGTTTCACAGCTGTACAACAAAACAGCCCACACCGTAGCTTGATGCACACGTCCCTTGAAATTCAAGGATGCACCACTTTGACGCCATAGGTGTCTCAAATCAGCGAACGCGACCCGAGCCCTGTGGATTTGTGCATTTGCCTCACCTGTCACATTACAATCAGAACTGATACAATTTCCAAGATACGTAAAACACTGCACAACTTCCAGTACTTCTGCCTGGATTGAGTGGCGTGTTCAATGACTGCACGTCCACAAGTATGACCTTACACTTTGTGGGTGCAGTGCATACCAAAGGAGGGGATGAATTTGGCCAGTTCATCCAAAAACACTTGCGCCTTCCCCTCCTATTCGAAGAAGAGAACGATGTCGTCTGCGTACTCCAGATTAACAAGGATTTCCTCACAGGCCACTTAAACATCAGGGTTTTGGAGACCTTCCTGCGTCCGTTTCACTATCTCACCGATCAAGAATTTGAAAAGGAATGGGGAAAGTGGGCATTCCTAACGGAATCGCTTTGTGTAAAAGCTTTTGAACAGCTCCCCGTATACTCTCACACGTCCGGAAGCTTGAGAATACAAAAAACGTATTATATTCACAAACTTGTGGGGCATGTTTTGGTGAGCGAGCGTGTCGAGAAGAACACACCAATAAACCGAGTCGAATGCTCCTCGGAAATCCAGGAACACTAGAATTGTGGGTCGCTTATACGAATGGCGTCGTTCTGGCACCTGACGCAGCGTGAAGATTTGGTCAAAGCAACCCCTACCAGGTCGGAATTCCGCTTGCTGTCCTCGAGTCAGTATCTCACGAGCCACCGGAAGGCAACGAAACACAAGTAACACCAACAGTCTCGTTACGACCCCCTGTGGTTACAGCACTCACTACGAGCCCCTTTTTTGAAAATGGGCACTATGATGACTATCCCCAGTTGTCTGGGACAGACAAAAACTAATAGTTCACCCTTTCGGTGCTTAGCTGCCATGCAACACGAGGTAGGAGGGCTGAGATACTGCCAGGTCGCCCAAGCCCAGACAGAGGAAATCGAGAGGCAGAGTTCGGGTTCGAACCACGAACCTTCCGGTCAGGAAATTCGCTATCTAACCACTGGGGTATCTCGCCATCTGCCCTGCGGTGTTAATTTGCCTTTGAAGGGCATGAGTTCGGAACCTCGAG